TTATACTAGGGAGACTATATGATATTTACACATGTGTGTCTGGTTTATTTCACTTATGAGTATATTGAACTCAGACTCTTGCACTTGCCAGGGAAGTGCTTATTCCACTGAGCCATCTCCACCCCCCCACCAGCCCCAAGCATTACAATTTAAACAGATAATCTTTGTTTTCTTTTGTCCAACTAAAGGTACTAAACTATGCAACTTATTTGCCTTATGTGTAATTTTATCATGAACAATAAATTAATTTAAAGGCCAGTGCTCATAAGGTATAGCATATTTACTAATATGAACTTGCTTTTCCTTGATGCTTAGATGTAGCCCATACTATTATTAAAATTAAACACCTTGACTAACTCTATACGCTGATATCTGTGATCTGAGCAACAACATCAAAGACAGCAATGTGTTATGCAAACCCCATGCTTGAATACCTCTTATCTTGGTATTCTAAATGTGTACCGTTTCTAATATCTTATCAATTATTATTATACTCTCCTTAAAATAAATTTTAAGAAAGACAAGAATTGAGATTACTTGAAAGCAAGTGGTAATACTCAATTATTTGTCCAGTCTTGCACAATATATCTGTTAATATGAGCAACAGATTTGATGATTAAGAATAGACAATATAACAACCATTGTTAGCTATTCTTGTTTTGAAAACATGTAACACATGTATTGTTCTATATTACTATGTTTCTATCTTCTATTTGTTTTTGCTTTTGTTTTTACTCTTCAAAATAAATTAAAATTAAATTAAGCAATATTTTGTGTCCAACGTTCTAATTATAACCACATATTTCCATGTATTATTTTAATGATTAAAATATAAAGATTCTTTGATATAGTCTAAAATAACACTGTTTAATGTGACAAATTTATAAATATATAAAATTAAAGACTTAAACTGAAAACTAAATTGAATGCAAACATTTTCCTTTCTGCCAAGATTTGCTTTTTGCATAGCCCACTTTAAACGTGATTTTATTTAGCTAATTCCAGGCCCCACTCATCAAATTATGATACTTAGAGACTGAGAAAGACTAAATTGTAATTGTAAAGCTTGTAGAAGCAGTACTTTTTTAAGTGATTTTTCTACTTCTACCACGGAGCCTCCCTTTTTTTCCAGTGTTCTATTCCCCACCGACTTCGCATTGTGTTCGTGGAAGCGCCCCACTCTCCCGGCAGCTGCAGCTCCTGCGCGTGGCGCTCTGCGGCTGAAAGCCGGGCGCCAGGCCCCGCGGTGTGTGGCTTGCGCTAAAACAGCAGCTCACCTGGCAAGGCGGAGTGCAGCGGTAGGGTCTGTGCTGATGATGCCCTCAGGTCTAGTGTCAAAGGGCTCAGCTGTCTTTACTTGGACTGAGTGCTGGCTTAACTCATTTAATAGCAGATTATCAGCATTCATACAGTTACATGAAGTTTATATCGCAAATTGATTTCTGCTGAAAACAGTAGTGTTGGACATAGGAACGTGTGAGGAGGCGCCCCGCAAAGGCCTGGTGGAGGGCCTCTGTCCATATGCATTGTGACAGCCTGGTGTTTCAAAGCAGTTTGTTTTATTTTGATTCTTTCTTTCTTTCTTTCTTTCTTTCTTTCTTTCTTTCTTTCTTTCTTTCTTTTCTTCTTTCTTTCTTTCCTTCGAGGCAAAATCTTCAAGATACTTAATCAGTTCTCGAAACAGAAAGCGGGAGCCAGAGAGTAAGGCAGGAGAGGAGAAAATGGGGAAAGAACAAGGCAGAAAGAAGGTGCATGAAGGTGGAGAAGGCGGGAAGAAATCCCTTTGGGATTATCACACTGGTCAGGAAAATGAGGTTTCACTTTACCACAGCTGATCCTGGCTTCTCACTGGACAAAAAGGCTCCAGCTCATGCTGCGTGTTGTATTTGGATGTTTCAACTGAGTCAATGTGGGCCCTAGAATTGATTTTGAAAAGTAAAGTGGGGGAATGGGATTTAGAAATGCAATAGCATTCCTTAAAATTTGAGATTTTGAAAGAATTTGGAAGTGCTATTTCAATCGCTGGAATGAGTTTCAGTTTAAGGCAGTGGTTTATTGTACCTTCATTAACATGAAAGACTACTTTCTTTTAGAACTTGTGTTAAAAATGCCCTTGACATTTGTATGAAAAATTTATGTTAAGACATGGGATCTTAAAACATAAACAGTTTAAATCTATGTCAAATAGGTTTCTCATAATAATTATTGTTTTCTTTCCCTCTGGTCAATTGTAGAAGAATCTGTGGACTGAGGAGCCATTTCCTGGGCTGCTCATTAACCAAGAACAATTCTGTTGTACCACAGACAGCACTGGCTGATGAGTTAGTGTTGAAGAGTCTGGAGATTCTTAGACTGTGCTCATGGCCTCGCCATGCCCTGCAGTCATTCTAGTGCAGCGTTGTGTCACTTTCTCTGTACATATTCTTTCCTGAACAGTTTTATAACATATTTGGTTAAAGTTGGCTGTGCCTTAGTATATGATTGAATATGGATGAATCAAAAGTTTGTTTGTTAATGCAGCTTAATAATTATAAACTGTGTATGCTCTCAGAAAACTTTATTTCATGTCACCTATAATTGAAATCAGAACGATGTGCTTCTCCTATCTGTGCATAGTTCCAAATAGATATTGTTCCTAACTCGTTGGCCTGGGATGCACTGTTGGTGTCACCTACAACTGTAGTAACAGTCTCACCTTCTATTCCTAATAACTTGCTACTTTTTTAAATACAGGTAATGGATTAGGAATTAGGATCGTGGGTGGTAAAGAAATCCCTGGACATGCTGGAGAAATTGGAGCCTACATTGCCAAGATTCTTCCTGGGGGAAGTGCAGAACAGACAGGGAAGCTGGTGGAAGGTAAGGACGAGCAACTGCAGCGTGGGCCAGAACGGACGCACTCGCATCAGATGCTCCTTCATGTCACGTGTAAATGTTCTCTCCCGCCACCGCATGGGCTGCCTTCTACACTAATGGCTCATTGTGAAGTGCTGGAGAGAAGGCGCACCTGCAATCACATGCATGTGCTCTGAAATTGCATTGTCCATTTGGTAGCTGGCGAGCTTCAGGAGCATGTCACTTGCAAAATCAGTAATTAGCCAGGAGATTTTACAGACTGGGGTGATTTTATTAAGAAGCACTTTAGATTTACCTGGAGTAATGTTTCTTAAGTATAAAATGTACTGCAGTCAGACCTACAAAAATTCAAGATTCAGGGAGCTAAGGTCAGGTCCCATCTGAGACCTGTTTTCGAAAATAGTGTCTTTTGGAACATAGCCATGACCACGACCTTATGTGTGCAGCATGGGAACTTCCTGTGAGCATGCAGGGCTACGGACAGGACAGACCAGTAGCCTACAGTGTGTAAAATAGTTATTCTTTGGCAATTTAAGACAAATCTGTCAAGCCCAGTACTCAGTACTCTTAGACACTATTCACAGCACTCCAGTGTCAGCACTTTAAAATAAGCGTCTTCACAGATGTGGCCTGTGTTCCAAGCTGATATATTTTATCATTGTTGTTCAATGAAGTGTATTATACCTGAGTTCTCAAAATACATAATGATAATTTTAATATATCAGTCAAGTATGGGGTCATTCCCATTACCCAGATGCTCTCTCTGGATAGCTGGTGACCTATAAGCAATACTCCTTTGCCGTGAACGTTGTTTCTCATGAAGTAGATATAAACTTTCACTTTTATTCTACATCACATTTATTTCTTTATCAAAATATTTTTATTTCATTTCATAGTTTAAATTTCATTTCATAGTTTAAATTCTGCCTACTGAAGTTTAAAGCCTTTAATTATGTTAAAAATTATTCACTGTCAATATGAATCAAATGTTGAGACCTAACAGAAAAGTCCTTAGAGATTCTGATACACTATGAGAATAAATAAAATTGGGGGCAGTTTGCTCATCACAGTTTTGTACTGAAAGCAGCTTGCCCCACCCCATTAAATCCACTGTGCACCTCCTGTTGCAACTGAAAATTCAGTGTCATCGTGCGGATAGCTTGAATAGGCCACAGGGGAGGAAGTACTTACAATGTAGAGATAGACAGGTGCTGTAAAGTGAGGCTGTGTGGCTTGCTTTCACTTGCTTTAACATGCCAGTTTTCCACTGTATGAGTAAATACGTAACTGAGAGTGTATTATTACAAATATCACAATGGCACTGGTAAAGTGGTGAAAGTTAGGAGAGCGACCAGACGGTAGTGCAGGTGACTGGTGGACCAAGACTACCAGCTGTGAGTGAATCGCTGGTTCTGCAGGACTGTCTTACAACTGCAGCCCTTGTGGTCTGTGCTGCTTGGCTGTTGCCGTCTAGGTAGGATGCAAATATTGAGACCTCAAGATGGACTGATAGGGTTGCTTTAGCATAGCATTCTCCTGAAAGACTGAATAGTCTATTTTCATTTCAAAATGAAAGCCTAAAGCCAAACATAATAGTCCACATCTTTAATTTCAGAAGCTGAGGCAGGATGATCATAAGTTCAAGCCAGCCTGAGCAAACTAGCAGAATCCTGTCTTAAAACAAAACTCTGTATTGTTCCTGTGGTATGAGAAGCAGAAAGGGTAAATAAGGACCAAAATGTATAATACATTTTTTTCCTGAGTTCTATGTTTTGTGCTGAGTCTCTTGGTCTATACCTATAATGCTATCATATAGTGACTTTTTGATATAAGTAGTGACAGGAGAGCCCACATATTGTGGTTCTTGAAAATCCTCTAGGAATAATGCTTGACCCTTTGATGTTGCATTGAAGTTTTAGAATCAGGTTGTCAATTTTCATGATAATCTCTTGAGATTTGGTAATGACTATGTGACGGTATAGATTAATGTAGAAAATATACGTTTATATATAATCATACCTATGGCTATAAAATGCTTGCAGTGCCAAGTCTTTGGCGTGCTTCGAGACCAAGTCATTATATTCTGAATCAATAAAGTAAGTTAGAACATAAAGGCTAAAAATAAGTGCATGGCAACTATTCAGCATATTAAGATTTTGTGTTTTTATACCAATTTAAAACATTATGTCTTTGGAAAAATAAAGCAAATATATTTTAAAAATAAAATTGAAAATGTAATGGATAAATCTAATGATTTATCTGCATATTTTGTTCTGATTTTTATTTAATCATTATGTTTCTTGGCTTATTCTCCAAATTAATTTTTCCTGGTTTTGTATTGCAACATCATAGTGATGAAATACCTTGCTGGCATGATACTTGCAAAATTTCTATAATTTTCATAAGAGAACTATAAATTCATAGGCACTAAAGATGTCTTTCATCCAATGAAACAAAAACAATTTTTATGTACTGATAGATTGATTGGAAGTTAATATAGTAAAATCTTTTGAAGTTAATTTTTATTTTTATTATTATACTGGACAAATTTGTTTGGAAAATTGTTTGGAGATAGGGTAGGAAAAGAGGGCTAAAATATGAAGCAATTTCAAGAGCACTTGTAGCAAATCAATGGAAAAGTTAAATGGCAGTGCCAAGGTTAAACCAACGCTATCCACTGTGTGTTGGTGGCGGTACGCAGAGCTGGGTGGCAGATTAGCGCCTTGCAGACCCTTAGACCTGTGCAAGGGTGAGGAAAACCATTGCTGTCCACTTGCTCTCGTAGGAGGACTGTGCCAGGTCCACTCCAGCTCATGGATACCTAAGGTCCTTAGCTTATAGCTGCTCCAGTGCATGGAAGTGATCGATCCTGAGCTAGCCAGCGAGCTCTTCTTAAAGCTGAGCAGAAGATTCCTGGCCAAACCGTGAGATGCTGCTGGATTTCTTGCTGAAGATCAGTGATTGGAGCGAGTGTGATGCTCCGGGGTGAGATGCTTCGGGACTTGGCCCTTAGAATCTGGCCTGGGGGGGGGGGGGGG